ATGCGGTTTCTGTGCCCCAGAGAACTCAGCTGACCTCATTCGCCATGTCTATTTCCACTGTTACCACACCAAGCTGAAGCAGTGGGGGCTGCGGGCCCTGCAGAGCCAGACAGATGTGAGCCATTGCCAGCTGGACTTCCAGAGCCGCAATATCATCCCTGAGATCCAGGAGGACTTCCTGTGTCTGTGGGAGTACTGTGAGGTGAGAACAGGAGACCCGGTTTCTCTTTTCTATGTGTTACCTGGCAGCCAAGGGAAGGAGAGCAGCTTTTGTCCTGCAGTTCACCTGCTTGCCTGCCTGTTGGCTGTGTTTTTACCTGTTTGAAAGCATCTCTTGTGCTCTGGCTGAGGCCAGCTCGTGCTGATCTCTTCGCCCTATTCTGTCTGTCCTTGCTCCCCAACAGAGATCATTTGACAATCCCGAGTGGTTCTATCGGCACGTGGAGGATCACAGCTTCTGTTCGGAGTACAAGGCAGCGGGGAAGGAGAACCACGTGGTCCTCTGTGGCTGGAAAGGTTAGTGGGTGCATGCAAGGCCTCTCTAGAGAGCTTTGCACAGGGCTGGCTTGCAAATGTTGTACAGGAGAACTTTGCACTTCTTCGCAGATTTTCAGAGAACCTCTTGAACTTCAAAAATACATATGCATGGTCCTATGTTAAATGTTCCTGTAGAATTTCTTTCAGAGGATCCAGTTGTGTGCTTAATATTGAACTTTTTGTTTATATCTAATTAGTACCTAGAAGAAAAGGCTCCAGTTTATTTTCTTTCAATGATTTCTCTCTCATGTGTTTGTGCAGTTGCCTTACCTGCTTACAGTGGCGGGGGCCCATGCCAGTTGTACAGTAGTGATCTCATCCTGCTGTGAGCCTGCTCCGTGGGATTTTTGGAGCAGGGAGTTGATCTTTGCTAGTCAAAACAGAAGCAGGAAGCCTGCCGTTCAGTCAGGTTGTGGATCGTGGCCCATGTGTGAAGGATCTTAATGGCATTCTGTTGTTTCTGCTTAGACTGCGATTGCACCTTCAAGGGGCGCTGCAAACTGCGGGAGCACTTGCGCAGCCACACGCAGGAGAAGGTGGTGGCCTGTCCTACGTGTGGGGGGATGTTTGCCAACAACACCAAGTTCTTTGACCATATCCGCCGTCAGACTGCACTGGACCGTAAGCTCCTGTGGGTGGGGGAGGAGTGGGTTGTGAGCAGTCCTCTGGCTGGGCCATTTGGTTTGCTAGAACTGCCTGTTCTCTGCAAGCAAAGGGCACGGGTGTGCTTGGAAACAGCCTGGCTTCCCTGATGACTGGGAACTCAGACACTGATCAGTCTCTGAGAAGTGTCGTCTTGCAGAGGCAGGAGGGTTGGAGGCTCACAGGGCTGCACAGGGCTCACACTACTGCAACCAGAGCTGTTCCTCCTGTAGGAACCCAGGACTGAAGTCAAAGGCAGCAGCTGGGTACTTGCAGCAACACTGGGATTTGCCCGTTGAGTTCCCTTGTGCTGTGCTGGCAATGTGTATGTGTGTGATGGTTGTTCCCCAGTTCCTGCGCTGGCAGCACAAGGAGGCTGTGCAAAGGGGAGGCAGATTGGTCTGTTGCAAGGGGTTTCGGGTTTTTTTGCTTGTTTGCCTTTGTAGTCAGTGTCTGCTATCTCTGCCTGGCAAGAAGGGTTCCCAGCTCCACTATAACTACCTCTTTTTCTCACTTGCTGCTCTTTGTGCTGTTCTCTCTGCTTTGATCTATTTTCTCACCACCACCTCCCCTTTCTCCCTGGCCCCGATGGTGCAGAGCAGAGGTTTCAGTGTTCTCACTGCTCCAAGAGGTTTGCCACAGAGAGGCTGCTCCGTGACCATATGAGGAACCATGGTGAGTAAAGGCCCCTTCTCCCAACTGAGGCTCTGAAGAGTGCGGGCTCTCCCCTGCTTTGTGGTAATGTTTTCCACCCATTCCTTCGGACAGTAAACCATTATAAGTGCCCTCTGTGTGACATGACCTGCCCGTTGCCCTCCTCCCTGCGCAATCACATTCGTTTTCGGCACAGCGAGGAGCGGCCATTCAAGTGTGACTACTGTGACTACAGGTGAGGACCAGGGCTTTTCATCTTCCCAGACTGGTGACAAAGAAGCGCCCAGGGGCATGTGTGTCTGTGTGCTATGCAGTGTTGAGCTTTGTTCCCTTATTTCCTTTTAGCTGCAAGAATCTCATTGACTTGAGGAAACATCTGGACACACACAGCAAAGAGCCAGCCTATCGCTGCGAGTTTGAGGCTTGCAGCTTCACTGCACGTTCCCTCTGCTCCATCAAACTGCACTACCGGAAAGTCCATGAGGTGGGAAGGGAGCAGAGGGCTGTTCTGCTGTGTACTCTCTCCCAATGAGGCTGAGAACCGCTAAGTGCAACATGCTGTACAGAAGCATGAGGAAAAAAGCTAAAGTCATGTGAAGTGCCTCAGGCTGACCAGGGCTGTAGGAATGTGAGGTCAGGTTGTATTCCTGTCTTACTGCTGCAATGATTCATCATGTCAGTCTTCTCGGAGAACCTGATTCCTCCTCCCATGCACATGCATGGGTACCAGGCCCTCTGATCAGGCTGATGGGGTATTCACGTCCCTTTCTCTGCCCTTCAGGGTGACTCAGAGCCCCGATACAAGTGCCATGTCTGTGACAAGTGCTTCACACGTGGAAACAACCTCACTGTCCACCTCAGGAAGAAACACCAGTTCAAATGGCCCTCAGGGCATCCTCGCTTCAGGTACTGCCCATTGTTAGTTCCTCACTACCTCCTCTCTAGTGCAAGAGATAGCTGGAGCTGCATTCTGTGTCTTGCTGGAGCAGAGACCTGGCAGTGCTTGGGCTCTGATGTTTGCCTGTAATGTGCTCAAGACCTGTTTCCCAGTGGCTAAGGGGCACAGGGCAGCAAGCATTTGGTGGGATCTGGCACAGTGACAGAGCAGTGCTAGGTGGCAGCCCCAGCAGTGGGTCAGAGATTAGGGGCAAGGACAGCAGTGGTGCTATTGCGGCTGCCTCTGGTGGGACGCTTCTGAGCTTGGCAGGGGCCAGGTCCAGGTGTCCCACTCTAGAGAGAGCTGCTGCAGGTCAATCTCTTGACAGATGCCTCTGCTGCATCCTCTCTAGGAAACTCCAAAGGGTTTCCAGAGTGTAAAAGCTGGGAGGGGAAGAGGATGAACTTCAAATGCTCCCAGTGAAACAGAATGGTGGAAGGACATGGGCTTGGGAGATGATAGAGGCCTGGCAGAAAGCTCAGAAGCTGCCACATGGATGTGCTTTTAGGGGTAGGGGCTGAAGGGGTTTTATCTTATTTGCCCAGTATCATCTATGTAGCACTGGGCATTGGAACCTGGAATATAGTGCTCTTTCCTTGGCTGGTGCTTCAGGCTGCTATCTGTCTCTTGGGAAGGGGCTGCAGCGTGACTGGCTCCATCACCCCTGCCTGTCTCTGCTCAGGTACAAGGAACATGAGGATGGCTACATGAGGCTGCAGCTGGTGCGTTACGAGAGCGTGGAGCTGACAGAACAACTACTGAAGGACAGAGAGAAGCAGGGGGAGGCACTGGATGGCTCAGCTGAGTGTGTGGTGCTGTCTGAGGGTGAGGGCAACCTTCAGGGCATCATTCTGGAGACCCCAGCAGAGGCTCCCATGGTGGAGAACAGTATTGCTGAGCTGCAAGTGGCCCCGCTGCGCCCAGCCCCTTGCTCTGCTGACAACCCTGAGCCAGCACAGCCGAGTGCAAGTGCCTTCCCAGGAGCAGCGCTGTCGGCAGAGCAAGAACCCAGCACCCTGGCCAACCCCATCATTCGTGTGGTGAACCGGACCAATGAGCATGGAGAGAGTGAGACTGTATATTATGTCATGGCCAGCACATCCTCAGAGGAGCAGGTGGCAGCACCCAGTGGACTGGCTATGGAGCTGGAGGAGAACGTCATGGACCGTCTGCAGAAGACTGCTGAGGAGCTAGGCATCCAGATCGTGTGAGGTGCTCGCCTGCCTCTGCATGAGGAAAGCTTGGGCCTCCATGGGATGTGCTGGTGAGGGAGGTTGGCAAGTGCTTGGGGGAGAGGGCTGAGCTTGTCTTCACTACCTGCAGCTGGCTAACTTCCCCCTCTGCTGCCCCATCTTCACTGGCTGCTGGTTCTGGTCAGCATGGGGAGAGGGGAAAGAGAGGTCTGTCTCGATTGTGGGTCAAGTGATTTGAGCTGGAAAGAGCTGTCTGTTTCCTCCTTTTGGGAATTAGGGACTAGCAAGCCTCTCCCACCTTTCCAGGTGGTTTGGCCTTAGCCTGACACAGGCCTTCCTCTCTTGGTCACTCACTGGTGATGTGGCCCCTGCTGCCATGCAGCTAAGTTGTCAGCCCTTGCTGACCCTAGTCCTCAGCTAGGATCTCCCCAGGCAGGATGGTGTGCTGAGCCTCTTCCCTGGGGAGATGTGTGACCCTTAACAGGCCTGTTCTTGCCCATCCACACTTGATTCTCCAAGGGATTGCATGCTCTACTTCTGCCTTCATTGGCACTTCTCTGCACATCATCTTTCTTAGGTCATTCAGCTGGTGCTTTTGGTGGTGTTTGCACCACTGATCCCATTTCACTGCACTGATCTCTGGGAGGAGAGGGCTGGAGGTGCTGTCCCTTGCAGGCTACTGCTGCCTTGCAGCACTGGGGGATTGGGAGCTTCTTGCTGCTTTTGTCCGTCCCTGGGTTTCCTCCCTGCATTGGGGTCTGGGCTCCTCATTGAGCAAAGTGTACTTTGGCAAGACAAATAAAAGTCAGACTGCCAGGCCAACCAGTGTCTGGTGTCTGTTTCAACCCCATCCCCGCCAGCCATGGCGTGTTAAGGTGAGAGGATGAGACCGAGTTGCCTAGAGCCTGCAGTGTGGGAGGTGGGCACTGAAGAGCTGCCAGTATCTCTTGATATGTCTTACGTGCTTCCGCTTGGTGTAGCTGGCGACTGCCTTGGAGAGTGTGTTGTTCCACATCCCCAGAGGTGGCACTGGAAGACCAGGTTTAGCGCTGTCACTCTTGTTCCCTGGTGTCCTGATGTGCGTTTGATTTTTGCTGCCTCCTTCAGGGCGTGAATGTCAGCTGCCTGCGTGTGGAGGTGAAGTGCCCAGGTGGAGGCAGCGAGGTGCCCTGCTGATCTGGGCTGGACGCTGACTTTTTCCCCTTGCTTCCTTTCTCAAGCAGTTCAGCAAAAGCTGTTGGAATTCCAGGTTAATGGAGGAAATCACTTTATACTAAACCCTTGGCCATCTGCTCGCTTTCTAAATACAAACACTGTGGGTGTGATTCGTGGCTGTGCCCTTGGGATGGGGTGACAAGAGCAGCCCCTTAGGCCTGTGCCCTGGGTGAGAGGCAGCATCGTCTGCAGCTGCCATAGACAAGGGCTGGGTAAGGCACAGGGATGAAGTGGGCAGAGCTGCCCGCTGCAGGCTGTGTGGGAAGGTTTCCTGGGACTGGATCCATGTGTGAAGGGCAATACGCACCCCTGCACCCCAATACTGCTCTCTCCAGGGGTGTGCAGGCAGAGTGCCTCCCATGGGCCAGTGAATTGCAGCTACGGCCACACGCTGGGCACCTTGTGCTTGGGGTGAGGCAGGGTAGGAGGCAGCTGGCTGTCCCCTCTGCCCTGCAGAGGATGCTGTTAGCTCTGGGGAGAGCATCCCTGGGATGCTGGTGTGCGACGTGGCCAGGCCTTGCCCAGCCTTCCTTGCCCCGGCCTGGCCCTTGCTCCCTGGTACTTGGCAGACCTGGGCCAAGGATACCTTCGAGAGAAGGGCCTCGTGCCAGGTTTGCATTCGCAGCACTTCCAGCTTGGCCCTGTTTCCAACATGCAGGCCTTGGGGCTCTGCTGCCAAAGCCATGGCTGCGCCTGCGTTATCTTGAACTGTGGTGCTCCTGCATGACATGAGTGCTAGGTGTTGGGAGTGGAGGAGAGGCTGTGGTGGCTGGGAGGAGTTGTCCCTTTAAACACTGGGTCTAGGGAGGGTAATCTGCTAGAGATTATCTGCTGAGGAGAGGATTGGCATTAAAGGGAATGTCTCCTCCCTTCCCCCATGTCCTACAGCATCCCCTGTCCTGTGTGTATGGAAACCAAGTTCACTTTCTCCTGGGCACGCAGAGAGGGAGCCTTTGATTTGAGGGGCAAGGGGAGGAGGGCAGAGTGTGTGCTATGGGACTGGGCCTCTTCTTCCTCTTCGCCGTGCTGGCCACGCTGGTCTCCTGCGAGGACCCAGAAGGTAACACAGTGTTTGGGGGAAGAGGGGCTTACAGGGTGCCCTAGAGTTGCTGGCACCTGGCTGGACCGGTCTTCCCCAGCAGGCAGCAAGACCTTTGTCGTGTCCCTGTGCCGAGGCTTGGCACAGGGGAAGCAGGAGCTGGCTTGCAGAAGAACTGGGGGCTGCAAGTGAATGCACTCCTCTGGGGAATGGGCCAAGACAAGCCTTTGCTGGGCTTGTACTACCTCCCTGCGGGTCTCTGAGGGCTGGGGAGCTGGCGGGAAGGGTGGTCCTCGGCCCTTGGCCCCAGCCCTATTCTGCCTTGCTCCCTGCGGCACCAGGAGACCTGGATACTTACTGGTCTGGCACAGCGCCCATCTGCCTGGGGGGCTGCAAGGGGAAGCACAAGGAGCTGAAGAGGAGCCAGTGTGGGAATGGCAGCTGCTGCTGGCTGGGCTACAAGTCCTTCTGCAGAGGTACAGGCAGAGGGGGGAGACCAGGGGCCCTGGGGATGGCTGCATGGCTTGGCACAGCCAGCCTGGGGAGGGCAGGTTTTGTGCCACGCACACGTGCGTGAAGTCTGTCCAGCAGCCTGGTCCTTGGGCCACAAGGGGATGCAACCTGGGGCACCTGCAGATCCTGCCCAGCACTCTGGTCCTTGCCCAGGACCCACAGCCTTGTCTGGGTACATCCCCTTGGGCTGCTGTTCTGCCAGGCAGGCTGCACAGGGGGCTTAGCCCTGCACTGCCCACGGGAACATTCCTGTCCCCAGTGAACTGCGGGCGACCCGAAGTGGAATTCAACTCCGTAGTGTACGGCAATGACTGGTGGGTCGGCTCTGTGGTGC